TCGATATTGCTGTTGTTGTTGGTTACATGTTATTGCCCTGTGAGTATCGGCCTATACCACAACTGCTAATTGTGGGCATATTTGCTTTGGTCCAGGCTCAAAGCAGTCTGCTCCACACGACCGCAGAGAGACGTGGAAGCAGAGAGCTCAGCCAATCCTTACGCCAAGTAGCATAGCCAAGCGTGGAAACCAACGCCACTTTATGCACAAACGAGACCCCAAAGTGCCTTCAACCAGCCCCCACGGACGCCACCGCAGAATGAAGATGTGTGCAACAAAAACACAAATATTGCATATCAATAATAACTCTTTCTATGTCAGCCTGGGATGCGTGTGTGTGTGTGCGGGCGTATGAGTATTTGCATGCTTACATCTAGGTGTATGTGTGTGTGCGAATGTGGAATACATCTACATTTTTGGGTGGGCGAACAAATTTTCCGCATCATTAGATGGGAAAGCACTCGAGTGAGCTATCCGGGGAGTTATTTTGCTTGTTTCCTTGGCTTTCCTTGGCTTTCGCTGGCTTTAAGCAGACGTTCTACGCAGCAACTGTTTTTTCTTTTTTCTTTTTCGGTTACTGCTGCGAGTGCCATTCAAACTCATCACTCGCCATATTCATCAACTTGATTTCTGTTTGTGCCATGTGTCTTACGCTCTTGCGCTATCGCTGTCTCGCTCCCTCGCTCGGTCGCTCTCCCTCTCTCTCGCCTGCTCTCTGGCAGAGGGCGCCTTTAACTCACAAAAGCCCCAAGTCGCGTATTGGAGGGCAATGCCAGTCCTAAATAAGTTGTACACGTTGAATGGGCAAAAGCTAACCAGAAGCCGGCTGAGCGAAAAGCACGCGTGTTTACAATGTTTACAGTTAAAATAATGGGATATTTGTAAGTGCATTCCAGCGAAAGCTTTGGAACTCGAAATACTGGTGACGGACCGTGACAGTGCCATAAAAAAGCTCAAGCTCTGCGGGATAAGCTTTAGCGTACTTCAAAGCACTTGGCCCATGCTAACCAAAAAGTTTCCCCATCAGAAGCAAATACACCTTCCAAGCAGAGTCGCCTTTACATCGCAATAGCTGGCCAATTAGAATTATTTATTTTATGTACATAGAACGAAAGTATTATCACTAATGGGGAGATGAATGCATATGACTAAGGATACATAAGTAGAGATAGATAATCGATTTGAGGTTAAGGTCTAGGGAAGTTTCTTAAACTTCAGCAGGCACTCGTACAGCGTGAGCTGGCGAGTCTCGGGCATCAGCATGAAGACCAGCAGCCCGAAGACGAAGCTCAGGCCACCAAAGGTGAAGAAGAATACCGAGTCCCGCAGACTGTGCTCGAAGGCGGCCGCCATGAGACCCAGGTGCAGTGCCTGCTCCAAGATGAGGACGCCGGCCAAGCACCTTGCCTTGTGCGCCACGCTGAAGGCCTCGCCCGTGTAGACCAGGGCGGGCACGGCGACGCCGGCAGCTACAATCAGCTCGAAGAGCAGCATGAGCAGGGCAATTGCTTGCAGGTTGATGTCGTAGTAGGTCTTCTTGACGGCCTCCAGATGCTCGAAGACGCCGCCCACGATGACGATGACAATGCCGGCCACAAAGAGCGACAGCGAGCACAATTTGCGGCGCCCCTGCCAATCCACCAGCAAAGCGCCGCTCACGCTGCCCAGCAGGCCACAGAAGGCCAGCCAGTACAGGCAGTTCATGTCGCACTCGAGTCCGTGCCAGCTGACCACCAGGAAGGCGCGATTGTAGGGCAACGAGAGCGCCAGTGCCGCGAAGCACCGCAGGAAGAGCACCTTGAGAAGCGGCAGCAGACGACGCGACCAACGCTGCCAACAGGAGTCGAGCGAGCCCACCGTGAATCGCTCCCAGTCGCTGGAGTTGTGCAGCTGGTGGCAGTCCTCGCGCAGGCGCATGAGCTCCGTGCCGGACTGCGCATGGCCATTGAGCTGTTTGAGCGTGTCGCTGACCGCCATGTCCCGCTCCTGGCGCAAGAGCAACAGCGGCGACTCCAGCCGATATGACAAGGACAGGATGACCGCAGCCACGCCCAAGGCGGCCAGCAGGATGCCGTGCAGCTGATCAATGTGCATGGTGTATCCCCTCTCCACGGGTTCCAGGGTGTACCAGAGGCGCGTGTAGAACACCTGCACGCAGACGCCCAGCCACAGGAAGATGCGCTCGCAGCTGAGCAGCATGCCGCGTATGGACTTGTTGGCCATCTCCGAGCCCGTGACCAGGGCCTGCACCTGGGTGAGGCCGTACGCGGCGCCCACGCTCACGCTGCTGTAGCAGGCGCAGATGAAGTGGCGCGGCAGCAACAGGTTCAGTATGCCAGCCACGAGCAGCAGGAATCCGCTGGAGGTCTGCAAGGACAGAGAGCCAAGTTAGCGAATCTATGATAAATGACATCAATATAGAATATACAAAGAGCGACTGCCGTTTGATATACGGTACATCCCCGAACTCAGTTAAGGCTAATGGCTAATGGCTAACAGCTAATGGCCAATACTAGTCGAAGCTTATCAGTTATTGGCAGCGAGATTAGTCCCTAGTTGCTGGAGCAGCACTTACGTAGGCCACGTTTTTGGTAACGCGCTGCACAAACAGCGCCGCCAGCAGAGCACCGAAAGCGGCCCCAATGAACCAGCTCATCATCAGATTGTGGGTGCTATAGCTGTTGAGGAACTTGCCCGCGGGCGTGTCGAATATGGACCAGGCCAATCGCATGCCGCTGCCCACGAACACCAGCGCAGCTGCAGGATATAGAAATATCAGATATGGAAGGGAATGCTCTACTGCTAATCGAGGTGTTCCGCGACCTTACCCGCGGTCAGGGACTGAAACTGCAGGCGGTAGTGCCACAACTGGCGCAGCCACGACAGTTTGCCCTCCTCCTCGATGGTCGGCAGAATGGGCATTGTGTCTGTCCTGTCCTATTTGAGCTGTGCACACTTTGGCTAAGATTAATTTATTTGCTGCCCCGCACTGTCACTCGCAAGTACTTTTTGCGTTTGTATTCTGTTTATTCGGTTTGGGTTTGCTAGGTCTAGAAGTCATAGAACTTATCACTTATCACTGTTTTGACCGTAGCCGTCATTTTCACACACAGACTTAAATAGTGGGATTGATTTTACGATTTCTGATTTTTCGCGACTCCATACACTTGCCCTCTGAGCGCTGGCCAGTTGCTCTTCGCCTGACCGACTGGTTGCCTGTGCAGTTGATAAACGGAAAGCGTTCACAGCAGTCGTCTGGAGTGCTTGGGGCGAGAGCGTCGAAGCCCCGATAAGATAAATGCCAAATACAAACGAACAAACAAACGCACAAAAGTTCTCGCCCGCTCGCTTATCAATATGATTACTGGATATAAATAAATTAATTAAATTTGAATAGTAGGCGTCAGAAGCGGGAGCTTGGACACAAATGCCAAACGACTTCCAGGCTGTTTGTTTGCTGATATCAAGCTTCGCATGCTCTACACTGAGCAAAATCATTTCAAATCATTCCTTATCACAAGTAAATAATTTAAATGTATGTATGTACCCCATGCCATGTCCAGATGCCAAAGTATATCAATAATACTTAATAAAATGAATTGATATGTATTTATGAACTTCCACTCAGAGGTAACAAAATAATACACAAATAATTAACGTTGGATTACCTTATGTAAGCTCTATTCAAACTGCGCCATGTGATTCACCAGATGTGATTTTACTCCCTGCTGCTTGCAGTGGGCTCCCCATCCAGCAATAATCATACATACTATTTATCATTGACATACTATTTATCCATTCCGATTAATTCTGTCAAGTGCACTGATCACTCGCCGTTTATGCATAGCTTATCAAAACCAATTGCAGTTAATTCCATTTGAGTAGACAATTTTACAAAATCAAGTACAAACTTTCCATAAATAAGCACAGCAAGCTCTTTCAGCGATTATGTTTCTTTGCATGTCAAAAAGTCAATTGAGTTGATGCCCCTTTTCAAATGTTATAGATATCCAATATACACATATGCAATATTTTATTTTACTTTAACTAGGCCATGGCTATTTCGTAGCCATTATGTATTGTATTTTGGATGGATATTATAATATGATAGCTATTCATGTATTGACGTTTTCGCTATTTACTTGGATTCTCGATTGTGGATTCCAGATTCAATACTTTGATTAGAAGTCTTATATATTTAATTTTGCTGTATCAATTGCCTCTTCGCCTTATCTTTTCTCAATCTTGTAGTTAAGCCAAAATGAATGTTGTATTTCTATCTCTCCCTCCCTCTCTCTCTCTCTCTCTCTCTCTCTCTATCTCTCTCTCTCTCTCTCTGTGTCTCTCTCCTTTTCTATGTTCTGTTTATATTTTAAGTATTATTTCTAGTTGGTTCTCTGCTTTTGAGTCATGTGTGTTTTTTCGACATTTATCAAAAAAGAGAAATACAATAAACAAACGCAGGTGCATGTTGTCTTTGTCCATACATTTATAATATATAATATATTTATAATTATATGCTATAATAAACATTCTCCGACTCGCCTAATTAGGTATTACTGTCTGTCTGCCGTCTAGCGTATACATAAAAAAATTATTTATGTTTGTCTTAGCAGAGCATAAAAGCTGTCAGATATGCTTAGTTATTAGTTGATGGATTTAGCAATGATTATACGTCATTCAACTTGCGATTGACAACAAATATTTTAGCAATCGAACTCTTATCATTTGGCTTACGTCAAGAAAACAATTAGAAATAAAATTGTATATACATATAAGTAAAATAATAAAAATAATAATAACAGTCAATTTTAATGCAGTTTTTTGCTTTTACAGGTTTCAAAAGTCGCACTATATCTTCTTCTGACAGTCACGAGTGAGCAGTAGCTACCAGAATTGGCTGCAGATTAGACACTTTGCAAGAGTTTCGAATAATTGCAGGGTATTACAGCCGTTATCAGTCGTTCATGTATGTACATATATGTATATAGGAATATAGAGTTACTATGCTTGCCTACATCTAGCTAATATTAAATGGCAAAAAGTCTTGGTGCGCCCACTGCTGGGGCCGAGTACTTCACGAGAAGTCGCGAAACTTTTGCTGCGCCTGACGCAGAGTCAAGTACTTGGTCTCAGGCAGATACCAGTGGCCGAACAAAAAGCCCAGCAGCGTAAACACGCCAAGGCCGTAGAAGTAGATGCAGTTGGTGTGCACATTGAGCTCCACGTAGCACACGGCTAGCTGAATAGTTAGCTCTACGGTATAGGCGATGGCGATGCACATGCGCTTCACGGACAGCGGGAAGGCCTCCGATAAGTAGACCGAGCTGGGCGCGAATCCAAGGCCGGCAAAGAACTGGAATATCAGGAGCATCCAGACAGCCTTCCTCAAGTCTGGCAATCTAACGAAGTCCACACTCGAGAACCTGGTCGCCAGTCCAATAGACGCGGCCCCGCATATCATGAAGCCAATCAGCTGAGTCAGCTTCCGGCCAAGCGTGTCCTGGACAAAGGCGCCGCTGAAGCTGCCCGCCAGCCGCAGTAGCCCGAAGAGCACGTACGGACCCCTGCTGAGCCCATAGACGCTGGTGCTAGCCAGCGTTAGCGTAAAGACGATCAGCATGCTTGTGCTCATGGCGTAAAGGGCGCGGAGCAAGCAGAGACGCAGCAGGGCGGGCAGTGCTTGGCACCAAGCCTGAGTGTTGCGCAGTGAATTGTTGTGGGCTACGTAGGAGCTGTGCTCAGTCAGCTGATCGCTGGTTTCCATCGTCACGGCTTTGGGATATTGCAGGCGGATCAGTGCATCGATGGCCACCTCCTCCTCGCCCTGGATCAACAGCTGCACTGGCGACTCCACAATGAATACGGTGGCCAGGAAGAGTGCAATGGCCCCATAAACGGTACAGAGCACGCCCTGCAGCTGGTCCGCCGTCAGATCATAGTCCGGGCTCCACCTGACGCTGAACACTATCTGCATGAATATGCCCAGGGTGCAGCTCAGTTGCTCAGTGGCGGAAACGTAGGTTCCTCGCTTGTAAAACACCACCAACTCGCCGCCCGTGGACAAGGTGGCGGGCAGCGCGAGTCCGTTGGCCAAGCCATTGAGGTAGCGCGCAGCCATCATGGCCTCCACATTCAGCTGCGTCGCAGTAAATAGAATGCCGCCAACAATGGTGAGCATGCAGCAGAGTTGCTGGAGGAAGTGATACGCTTATCAGTTAGATTATCGACATGTTCAACTAGCTGTTGTACGTACCATTAGCAATTTGTAGGTGAGGCATCTGGAGAATAGAACGCTGAGCACGGAGCCGATGATGGCTCCGATGAACCAAGAAATCCGTAGATGCATGCAGATTACTATTTCGTCTGCCAGATTGTCGAAGCCTATACTCCAGGCTATGTTCATGCCGCCCGACAGGAAGATTAAAGCAGCTGTACAAGGAGTGAAATAAATTCATCAGATATGACAATGTATTTATTTATCGATTGAGTTTTCATTCTACAGGGAACTTGAAAAGCACTTTCTGACTATATAATTACATCAGATGTATGTTAGATACAAAATATAAATTATATTTCACAAATTATTTTGAGGCTTAATAGAGGACTCTTTCTTTTCTGATATTCAATGTGGGGACAGAATTATTATTATTAATATTCCAAATAGTTAAAGGTCTTGATTATAAATATATGCAAGCTCTACAAGGTAGTATTGCTTTATGAGTCATCAGAAATTGCGTTCCTTATGAATGAATCCACAAAAATAATGAGTAGCCTCGAAATCGATGGAAATACTTTTGACCTTCAATTTCCGTTCTACGAACTTGACTTGATGATTTAAGACTTACCGGCGCCCAAGGCATTCGCCTGAGGCTGATTGCGCATATCACGAATGCAACAACTGCTTGGCTGTTCATAGAGTATTTGGCGTCGTGGAGGAGACTCCCGAGCTGTTGGCTCGGGCAGTGGCGAGTAGCCCACGGTGGACTGCGACGTCGTTCGACGATATTCATTCTTTTGTTCCATGTCTATTGTGTGTATGTCCTTCTTCGTCGAGGCACAAGAGAATACTACGCGAGCCGAAATACCAAAATATTTTCGACTCCGAAGTGAACAGGTTTTGATAGTACTTATCCATTGGTAAACGTTTCTTATCGCACTGATTGATAAATGCTAAGAGTCCATACATAGAGTCAGTGGCCATCGTTATCACCAACCACAGCGCAACCCTTCAGCTTATCTATCGATGTTTGTATTGCGTTTTGAGTACATTCAATAGATAGCAAATGTTTCTCTTTGTAAACATAGTTAAATTCGTTTTTGTAAATTTGAGCAGGTGAACACCTGGAAGAAAGAGAAAGTTTTTGGAGTTACCTCTTTATCAGAGTTGAGACCTTTTAGATTATACATGTATTTATTTATACATTAACCAGTTTGCTATCTTTGGCATTTCCTAGCTCTGCTAATTGGCTATTGTTTTCATAAACTACTCTGACTCAATGTCTGTTTTTTACTAATTTAAAGTGGATGTTGCGACCTTTTTATTAGCTCCTAAGTTATTCAAAGAGACATACAAAATCATATTCTCAAAATAATAAAGTCATATTCTCTAATTTACCCACATATTTTTTTATACCCTGAACCCATTGGGAAATCAGGGTATAATGGTTTTGTGTAAAAGTATGTAACGGGCAGAAGGAATCATCGCAGAGCCCATCAAGTATGTATATTTCTGATTAGGACGACGAGCTGAGCCGATATAGCCCTGTCCGTCTGTCCGTCCGTCCGTCCCTCTGTATGAGTGCGTCGATCTCAGAAGATACAAATGCTAGAGAGCTGTAATTTGGCATGCATACTCGTATATTCCATACGCAGTACGAGTTTGCTTTATTTTTTCGAAAACTCATGCGATAACTTTTTTATCGAGAATAATCGAAAAATTAGATTTGTTTTTTTACTCTCATTGCAATACTATTTATTAGACGTGGAGACTTCAGATTTACTGTGTGTATACATATGATGAATACAAACATTTTGTAATCAACAGATTTTGGATACCACGCCCCCTTCGTAAAAATATTTCAAGTACTAGAGACTTGTGCTTTAGAATGTACACACATTTTGACCATATGAT